TTATGAGTGGAAGGATTTTGGTGAGTATTTTTGTTCGTCGCAATCAGCCGACAATTCAGATATGTAGACCAGGTATCCGGAAAAGCAGCAGACGGCTGTTTCGCCCTATTGGGGCTCATCAGTGGTGCGCATCCTTCGGTCCTCTGCGGAGGATCGAACCCATGACTGCTAGTGGCTCTTGCCAACTAGCCCGCAGCTTATGTAACTGCGTCATGGAGGACAGTATCCGACCATCACGAATGTCAGCTAAATGCGATATAGCCCGACGCATCCTCCACTGCCATGCAGGCACCTGCCACGCGGATGACAGCGGTCAGCCTTCCGACGTCAGGACTTCCCGGTTACGGCAGCTATGAATCGACATAGCATTTTGTGGAATCCGTAATGGCGAATTGGTAGTACTTATGAGTGGAAGGATTTTGGTGAGTATTTTTGTTCGTCGCAATCAGCCGACAATTCAGATATGTAGACCAGGTATCCGGAAAAGCAGCAGACGGCTGTTTCGCCCTATTGGGGCTCATCAGTGGTGCGCATCCTTCGGTCCTCTGCGGAGGATCGAACCCATGACTGCTAGTGGCTCTTGCCAACTAGTCCGCAGCTTATGTAACTGCGTCATGGAGGACAGTATCCGACCATTACGAATTGTTAGCTAAATGCAATATAGCCCGACCCATCCTCCACTTCCATGCAGGCACCTGCCACGCGGATGACAGCGGTCAGCCTTCCGGCGTCAGGACTACCCGGTTACGGCAGCTATGATTCGACATAGCATTTTATGGAATCCGTAATTGCGAATTGGTATTACTTATGAGCGGAGTCGGGCTATATCGCATTTAGCTAACAATTCGTGATAGTCGGATACCGTCCTTCATGGCGCAGTTGCATAAGCTGCGGGCTAGTTGGCAAGAGCCACTAGCAGTCATGGGTTCGATCCTCCGCAGAGGACCGAAGGATGCGCACCACTGATGAGCCGCAAAAGGGAGGAACGGCCGTCTGGTGCTTTTCCGGATAGCTGGTCGACATATCTGAATTGTCGGCTGATTGCGACGAACAAAATGTTTTTAATTACTGTTTGTGACAGTTCTCGGTCTGTTCCCAATGTTCTCTGCATTTACATTCCCAAGCTTGACTTACCCTTCCACTACGTTTTCGATTAGTCTTTTTATCGAAAAACTGGTGATGGAGTACCTCGACCCGACATCCTCTTCCCGACTGCCACGTGGGTCGGATTGTTGATTCAAGGGCTAGTTATAGGGCGCTTCGGGCACAACGCCTGTCTCGGAATGAACAGCCGAAAGGTATCATCTACCCTCTTGACTAGGTGGACAATACACCCTCTTCTTCTTATTTTTCTATCCCATTTCAACTCTCTTATTCCTTTTCTATTGAGTAAGAATCTGCCGCTGACCGCGATGCTGCTGCCATCAACACTCGTAACTTGTCCATCAAAACGCGGGTCTCATTTCGCATTGGTTCTTTTAGATTCTGTAATTTGGTTCAGATCTGTCGACAGGCAGCACTGACTCACACTCCTTATTAGCTTGGTATTTATGTGGGCTGTGTTGCCGAAACACGCATACAAAGTAGTAGCTTTGTGAAGAATCTTACACCCTGGTTCTGTATCTGACCCCGATGAATACAGTCTACACGCCTCTGATGAATTCGTGTCAAGGACTCAAGTTATTTACGATGTTGGCATCACCCTCAGCAGACATTCTGAAGGTAATCTACTAGAGTGGATACCGTTGAACAGTGGCATGTGCGCGGTTTACCGTCGAACCTCTACTGGAGTTAATGGGCAGCGTCTGGAAACAAGGTGCCTTCCGTGTCCTACGTTTATACTCCCACTGACTGCAGTTCGGATAATACCAAAGCTAATTTTGACTACCATCGTCCGTCACTTCACCGCATAGCGAAGAATGTCGACATCGTGATTATTGTTGGTGACTTGAATGCCCAATTGGGTTCTCTTTCAAATTCTGAACAACACCTGGGCGGCCGCTTCGGAGTCGATACATGCTAAACTGACAATTATGATCGATTCCAGCAACTGTGCGCCGACGGCAAGTATTATCATGGCACGAACGTTCACACCGCGTCACCTAGCGTCGTTCGAATTCCTCCATAACCGGACTCAAACTGACCATATTACCATCAGATATAAATGGCGCAGGTCAGTCTAAGACTGTCGGTCAATTTGGAGTACCTGTCTGGATTCCGACTATGCTCTACTACGCTCACTGCTCCCACTTCAAAGAGGCAACTATCTTCCAATATCCTTACTTATAACTTGAACTTGCAGTCTGCGGTACAACATTATCATAACGAACTAGGACACTAATTGTCAGTTATAAATGGGGTTGGTGAGCCGAACTATGACTGCGACCATCTCAGTTGGGCCATGAAGAATGCCTTTGACAAGTGCTGTTCACCCGATTTGAGAAGTCGCAACTGTGAATGGATCCCTCAGTACCGATAAGTTTGATTGAAGGGGGTAAAAGGGTTTCGATAAGTACTGAGTTTCAGCGTATCCGTAAATCCCTGAAAAGATGTCTTCCAAGTGCCTTGTAATCGTACTTTCGTGTTAACAGACATGCTCATTTAAGCTTGATCAAATTTTAAAATTGTTTCGCATGATACCTATAAGAATGTTCAAATGTTAATCAGCAAATGAGATAATATGTTAACATTCTTGGATGTCCAGTTCGAAGTTCCAAATGGGTATAAAATAATTTGTGGACTTCTGACAGCGAGCTCGTTGTACGGACGGATGGAATTTTTCGTTACCTTATATGAGGGATGTAGAGCAATTTAGTGGTGATATTGGAAACATAAAACGGAAATTTTAAAGCATAGGCAATATTATCTAATTCACGACAAAACTTTTCTAAACATTATGGTGTTCCAGCAAATGTTGGGGAAAGTCCGAGCTAACTCTATTTCCAGCCTTGCAGTCGTACATGTAAGCCGAAACAAACAGGAATGTAGTGTGTTTTACCGTGTCGGAGGCACATGCGGTTTGTCTTATTGAATCACATCGGGTCTTCGGTTTAACTACTTGCTATTCATGTGTAAGTAAGCAAAAGATGGTAAAAATATTGGAAATAGGGATGAACATGTGCCTGCTCCTCGCTGTCTAATCCTGTCTGCAAGAAAAGCTTTAACAACTAAAGGTGTCCTACCGACACAAGCCGTAAAACTTGTTAAGAAACGGAAGCGACGAAACGTCTACTACATGTTGGCTTGAAGTCCTGCTTAGTTGTAAACACTATAGCCCATGATGTCGCTCCGATCAATGTAAATGCCTACACTTTCCAACCCAAATGTAAACAGCTACACGTTAACTTTCTCTAGGCTAAATTTGACAGCGCTTCCTTCTTTCCTTATGTCTTCACCACTGAGGGTTGCAGGAGCCCAAAAATTAAACGCGATCCAGTGTTGTGCCCGTCATAAGAAGCTAAAGAGGAGATTTCCTTACAAAACTTTTAATGCTTGTAGTAGTGCACTTTCTCAACAAGTGCAGAATAGCGCGCTTTACAAGTTAAACGGGCTGCTTTGTTATCCGTCAGTATACACTGCGAGCCTCAGTACGCATAACATTGTATGCAACTCTATCCATTTCCTGTATGATCTTATCCAGTGTAAGTGCCCGTATCTTCCATTTGATAGCACATCTTAGACAGTTCTCTTGATGGTCACCATTTAATCTAGGTCCCGTACGAAGTTATCTGGGTTAGGATAATATGAACTTTTTCGGTCTTCAGAGATGGAACAAAAACAAATTTCTTGACTTGGTTTATTTTCATTACCCCGTTAATAACTCATTAGCGAGCAATCTTGAGACCACCTACCGTTGACTGAACTAATCGTATAGGATTTTCCTGTCCATCGCGTAGGCCTGATCGAGAGCAAAGTCAATTACTAATTGACTACATCTTATAACCGTTCTCGACAATACTACGGTGAATAAATAGTGTAGTTCTTCCTAGTATGTGCTCGTTTTTCAAAGAAATGTCCAAACTGCTTCATAAATTTTATGTATGTAGACGTATTGTCACCAAACGGATCAATTGGCTTACTACACCTATCTTAAGGGCCAGCAAAAATGCGCGTAATAGGGATCGTCATTAGTACAGTACACATCAGCTGTATTCAGTTTATACCTATCTCCCATTTACTGCGTTTCCTTTGCGACTGCGCGACGACCAAGTGTGCAACAGGGGAAAATCTTCAGGGTTGCGCGTAGGTTGCATTACTGATTGCTTGGTGAAATAAGTAGAGTGGTTAACCTTCTCGATTAAAGCCTTCGATTTATAACAGTCTACAAGATAGCAGCAAGTTAGTAATGGGGTACAGGTTCCCTTTTCAATTCAGTAAACTGGATGGCTGAAACAGCCTGGCATTCAATCTTTAACCAGTCTGAAAAGAACAGCCAGTGTGCTGAGCCAAAGCGGTGCGTATTCTAGCGCCATGGATTAGCAGGTCATTTAACTCTTCAGGGCAATCTAATACGGGTTTCATCGTAAGGTGTAATGCCCTTGCCTTCCTAGTAACAAAGAAAATGTCAAGGCATAATGCATGTCAGCAAAATTTAACACGTGACTAAACATTTCTTGTCCACTTGATCCACACCATTCTAACGCCCGAAAGCTAAAGGACCATCTACATACACATTCCAAAACCAAGTATTAAATATGTGGTTAGATACCAGGTGACAGTCAGCAAATGGTCCTCTCACTTGAGCAATTACGTTGCAATGTTCAACGTATCAGGGAGTAAGAGGACTTCTGTTCACATTATTAACTCACGTGGTCTCAATATAATGGGTCCTGTCAAGTGACGAGTATCACTAAAATACCATAGTAGCAAGTACATCGACGTCTTTAATTTCGTCTTAGGTAGTAATGTACTAGTCGATGTTTTAATGACTTCCAAGTGTATAAATTTGGGTCAGCGAATCGCATTCTCAAATTGATCGGCTGGAATTACATGAATGAGAAATGAATGACGAACAGTTCTATGCAGCTTTTCGATCAGACGCAAGACAACCTGGCATAGAAATCAATCCCGGGCTGTTTGAAAACATTATCAAAAAGGACCGAGCTAAGATGAAATTCATACAGGTAAGAGTGAGTACTTTCCTTCTTGTGCAATACGGCAACTGCCATGGTTAGAATGAACTGGATAGTTGGTCTGGGATCAATTTGTCCTGAGTACTTTTTTCCATAGTTGTCTGAGGTTTCATGTCTTAAGTTGGCAAGAAAGTTCCCACGGCTTCTAATCTGAAAATTTCAAGGCACATATCTTGGCTAACACGCAACATTTTATTCAAAATAGAAATCATTTTAATTGGCAAAGTAGTGCCAACGGGAATCAAGTTTATTTATTCGGGATAAATAGAATTCCGGAGCTCAAGTAGCGAGGAAATCCTAGTAGGCGGTTTCCGCACCAATTGGGGTATAAAACTTTCCTTTCGGATGATGTTATCCAGGAGCTTGAAAAAGTGGTAATCAGTACCTCATAGGTCAAGGGGTATAGTGTGTGAGGCGAAGTTTCTTAGCCCAGCTAGTGCACCTTTTGCAGGGTTGTTTGTACTAACTATAGCCAACCGTTATTTTGCATAAACATTGAACCTTTTCTGTTGACTAGTGCATGGTACCTGTGTTGGAGATTTCGATGCATTTTGAACCTTTTTAAACAATACTTCTCCGCTGTAATTGATTCCCTTGGATTTAGACCAGCCGCGGACTATCAGTTACTATAACATTTATTGTGTGCAAGTTCGGCTCTAGTAAGCGTTAGGGGACTTGATCCTAGTCCAACCATTGACAAGTTCGTCGTAAATTGTCATAAAGAGTTCAATTTTCATCACGTCGCAATCCTATCGAGAAACTGCTCTTTTTATTGCGTAGCAGTAGGGTAGACGATATCACAAAACGAGGAATTCTTTGCTTTTCATTTATTTCGTGTGACACTTAATTATTAAGCTCTTTCGATATTCTAACCTCCTGTAAATGTTGTAATCTGTCAGTGCGATAATGTTAAATCAGCAGCAAGATGTCGTATAGTTTTGTGTGCAGCCGCCTTAACTAAGGCCCTTAAGTGTTCGTTCTTCACTTCTAATGGCTGTCCACAACGCTCTTCATCTTCAAGCCCCTTGTAACCACCGTTGTACAGTAGGGTTATTATTTGTTCCAGCACAAAATACACTGTTGGTGTTATGAGCTGTTTCCGTTGCATTTCGACAAATTTAAATTTGTTCTGGGAAACTGTGCGCATTTATCTTCCGTCCATGTTGCAGTAAACGTTCTGTGAATATGTAAACACGTGTTGCTGAGCTAAACTATCACTATTGCTAGATATAGCACGAAACAGGCTTCAGAATGACGTGAACGGTTGAAGCAAATTAATAAACCTTGTTTAAAAACACAGTTGTTGAAATAAAAATAGCCAAGAAAGCGAAATAACTTTGCTAGCAAACTAATCTTACCTGAGTAACCCTTTAGGTTTGAGTTCTTCTTTGCTCATTGGTGGCTGAATTGCCCTGTAAAATATTGATTTGCACCTTATTTGCTAACGTACAGTGCTCCATATTTCGATAATTTCACTTAACCCTTCATGTTTATCTGTTGATTGGAGAGCGGGAAAAGGAGTAGAGCTAGCGAAGTGTGAACTTGAGGATAACCAAGAAAAAACGCTAAGATTGATACTCTCCCGTGTGCAGTCTACTTTGGCATGACTAGGGCACCAGCCACTAGCTTCGTCTGTTGAGCATTGATGCGAAGAATGTTCTATACGCCCTACTGATCGCCAAAATAATCCATAATTTTGAAAGTTCATTATTATAAAATTAACTCCATGTTCCGTATACTTAAACACTTGAGTCAGGTGGGATCTTTATTTGTGATCTACCTCTATGGATCTACTAAGATGGGACTTTGATTGCTATCCGGATCATTGGAAGCGTTCGCAAATTACCAGTACCCCTAAATATCACACAGTACAAATAAAATCCTAGCATTTTCTCCTTACCTTTAAAGACCACATAGATAAGAGTCCATCCAGTGGATCCGTGTTGGATGGGCTTGTGAAATGCCAACATGTTTTATCAAATTTATGGTTGCACTAACTGTCGTAAAGGAAAGAAATGTGTCCAGGTTCTGTTCGTGACAGAACGCATTAATTATTGTCACGGTATCCGCAGGGCAACTCAGTAAACGCTATTATGATGATAGAGCAATATAATAAGAGCTGCGCTTTAAGGTATATATATATATATATATATATATATATATGGTAGCAGCAGTACGCCGGTACGCAATACCGACGCATTTGTGCTGCTCAACCACCATGTCGGGCGTGGGTTAAGGATACTGTGAGGGTCGCCCGGTCCCCTACGCAGGCTAACACCCGCGACCTCAGAATACAAGGCAGCTTTGGGGTACTTAACTTTAAGGGTTGGGATATATATACTATATAAATATGTATATATATATATATATCAATGCGCAATAAGAAACTCGCCCAAACCCTGATACAGCTATCACCCAGTAAATAGTCTATCTACCGGATTTCTCAATGCGGCATGATAACCCGGAATATGCGCTGCTGGCTTTGGATACGAATCCAAATATTGACTATTTGTTGATTTTACCACTCAGCCGGGGTCCATCAATGTTAAGATGGGATAGTACACTTTGTGCGGTAAGGCTTAACACTGATGACATCACTTGTACATGAATGCTGCTACGGGTGGATAAAAGTATCCCAATTTGGAAGTAACGCGCATGTACTAATTTGTACGACTGAATCTCGTTTATTTGACCTGTTATCACCAGCGTATGATGCAGAGTCACCAATCACAAGACTCTCGGTCAGTAAAATTCTGGCGCCATAATGGACTTCAAATGATAGAAGGTGATAAGGAAAACCCCACGGTATATTTCTGAATCTCATGCTTGAGGCCTAGGAATACCAATGAAATAAGTTGACGTTGAACTTAAAAAAAGTTAAACAGTATTCAAAATTAATTATACGTGTATAAATTATCGGTTAACTGCAGGATTTTGGGGAATTTGACAAATAACGGTAGTGACGATTTGGTTTGTATGCTGTCCCGTAAAGTTCAGATAATATTGCATTAGCCTTTTCTAGTTGAGACCGTTACCCACAGGTACTCAGACCAATATATGGTCTACTATAAATTTCGGAACTTCGTTCTCATAATGGTTGTTAGACACTTTAACTAGCGAATACCCTGACCCCTTAATCCATTGAACCATACAAGGAAATTTCCATTTGGCTAGTTACTTTGTTGAACAGCCAATCCTATATCACAGCTGTACGAGTAGATAAAATCTGCCTACAGGCGCACTAAGCATACCTGGCTATAACTGAGCACTAAGCTGCAGCACACCATGCTGGTGCACCCGCGTGCCTAGGATAATTTTGCCAACGTATCCAGCTTTTCCTTTCAAAGGTTGGCTGGGACTGTTGTTATCTAATAAGTGCAGTCAAAACTCAATGAATCTAAAAGGTATTTAAGACAGATCAAGATAAGCAGCAATATTTGACGCTTAAGTTCTATTTGTTGATGCTTCTATAGCATATTTCATTAAAAGCTAGGAAGTTTGGAGATCGCTGATTCTACCCCACAACGTGATATCGCCCCAAAAATTTGAGTCTATTTCCCTGTACTTATTAATCTCACTGGCATTTCAAATTCCGAGCACAAGTAACACATCGATGATGGTATGTTGTATCCTTCCAAAGCCTATCTGGCTGAGACTTTGTTGCATCCTATGTAATGTTGCAATTACTCATCATTGCGTCGTCGTTGTTTTGTAGCGGTTCACAAATCTTTTCACCGGAGAGAAGGAAGAAAGAACAGATACTACTGGGTACGTTTCACAGTCTTATCTAAATTTACTGTCGCACGAATTCACTTCCAATGAATACATTGCCGCGGTAACCATTATATTATCGCTATCCTAACAAAAATAAATTTCTAAATCGTAGTGGGACTTTAATATGATTGTTCATATAGTTCGTCGCACTCCCTATCAGTCACACAGGTTTGCACACACCTTAAAGCCCCAGACAGCTATTTTGACTTTCTTGGTCTTGTCAATAATGTGCGTTCCACGGTCGTCTGCCGGGTTCCCACCCCATGGCTTCCGGATGCCATCAGCTTGTGACAATAAGCCATGGGTGAGGGCGACGGATCTGGATGACTGACAGTTGACTACGATAACGTGGCTCATCCTTCAGTGCCATGCCAGTTACGAACTGTGAAGAAGACAGTGGTTAGTCCCAGAAGATACGACTTTTCCGATAGGGACTATGTATTACCTAGTGTGCTGATGTATGGGAGCTTATTTACTATTCAGAATTCATGAAAACACACTGTAGTGCTACCCACGGAACTTGCTTTGATGCCTACTAGTTATATGACGCAGAGTAACCTTTGAATTTAAGATAGTAATTCGGGGTAGAAAGTGCATCCGTTATCCTTCACGTTACAGATCACTCAGAAACGGAAAAAAACCTAGGCTTCACTTGGTAGTCATCATTCAATATGACGGAGGCCTCCGACAGCGTTTACTTTGTCTTGTCCAGTTTGACATCTTCTGGCCGTTGTTTAACAGTATCGTAGATTAGATGGACGCAAATGTGCAAAGTTGCAGATCATTTTTCCGTAACGATATTTCTCGAACGATCTAAGAGAGTAAGCTTCAACCAAACCCTTTTTAATCTAACAGTTTTAAATTTATTGACCGTGGGAGATACAGTCATACTAGGCTGTCTGATCAATAGCTACAACAGCTTGACAAAGAATATGTATTTGTTCAACATTTCAACAGCAACTCCCAGCTAAAGTTTTCGGGGTGGTCAATCAGTCAAAAATATTATACAGTTGGAAAAGTGGAGAGTAGGATGCAATTAGTTTTTTTCTAGAAGATAAGTGAAGTCAAACGACTATCCGTGGGATTGTCTGTGTGGACGCATTTCCATGCGTGATTGTCCTTCGAAAGATTTGGTCCACAATTCCATTCCTCCTCTGGAATTGTGTAGAAGTGGGAACGTATTATCTCACCTTCAAGACCATCGTTATATATGGTTGACGGCATCCGGTTTTGGATTTGCCTGTCACTATGACCAATCACAGGTCGCCTGCACCTACAGAGGGACCACGGTTAACTTGCGCTGCACCACCTACAGCTATGGCCAGCGGAGTGCAGGGAAATGGCACGCGGGAAAACCGGTTACGATACCAATGTATGATCAAAGTGAGCCTGTCACGTTCTAATGTGGATTGCAGGTCATGGGAATCGAAGGCGGTTGATCGGCTTTCATAGCGCGATCTAATCAAGAAGACAGTTACCGAGGTGCAAGACAAAGCCCTCTTCCATGCAGAGAAGAAGCGGCAAGTGCGGAAGGGACAGGTGCCGATGTGTCGTACTTAATCGAATTAGAGCGCATGGTGGGGTAGCACATGCGGTCGCGAATGCCTAAGTCAGGCAGGTTTGGTGAGCCACGAGTAAGGCCACTCGGGTCCAGTACCGTAACGACCAGGAATCCTGCAGAGAACGTAGGCACCACCGGCGCAGCGTTTGTAGGTACACTGCATTCGATTTACTAACCGCGTGCTTGCATGCTGGGTCTCTTTATTTCAGGTGGTGGGTTTACTACCTTGTCTTAGTGTTATTTTGTTACCTCATTTTAATACGCACCAGAATAATTGAGTAACTGACACATTTCGCTTGAACTAAAGATGCTTAAACTGGGTTATTTTTTCCCTTCTTGCATATGTGTCCTGATCCCTTTTTCTGCTATCCTGAATCTAACACGGCTGCTTTGAAAAGCCATTTACAGCTAATTTAGTGCCATATCCGTACGGTGTATTAAATCTGCTTTATTTGGTAGTACGTTTCATGTGATATATATATACCACAATCCATCTCCGCAACCTTTTGGTTAGATTCCCTGCTTCTGTATTCTTAGGAAAAACTTAGTGAGTCACTTATATCCCGAAACGCCTTTCTCTTTCTCATCGCTTTAACTTTCATTCTGCGATCCTGACTCCACTCTTCATGCATGGCTTGTCAAGCATTTGCCATCTTACTCATGATAAATCATTGTACATTGTTCCTAGAATCCCTGCAGTACAAAGATTTTGCTGAAAATTATTCATGGTTATTCACACCAATGAATAGTATGTAAACACTAATTTAAATGTATTGGAAAAAACAAAGATTAATTTGTTATTTACTTTGTTTCTGCTTCCAGTCATGCTACGTGAAGTTGTGTTTGATTTTTAAGTTGCTGAGATTGATTTGCAATGCAAGCCCCCGATTTAACCGTTGAAATGAACCACTAGTTTTCGGTTCCTCTGTTCCATGCCTGACGCAAAATGCTCCATAAATCAGCCCCGTTAAAATATTTAATCTAAAACTGTTATCAGTCACTACTCTTCTCAGAAATGTGCTTACAAAGCTATTCAAACCGCAAAGATTTACCGCTTCAATCACTAATTCCAAGTGTATATTTTAGTGCTATGAACACTGAGCCAAAAGAAACAGCACCCTTGCCCGTTTCGTCATGCAAATGCTCATGTCATGTAAGTGCCACTTGCTCAGCCAAAGCTTCGGAAGAGAAACAAATCTACATTCTTTACTCAGATATGGATGAGTCGTGTCAAGATATGATTGTAGATTATTTACTCCGATATTGGAACCCAGAAGTTTGCTTTGCATCGGCATATCTCATTTTGCTCAAACTTGAACGCGAACGCGGACCAGGCTGGAGGTTGGATAAGATATTCAGAAGAGACACTGTTCGCGAAGATGCCGTACCGAATTCAACATTCAATTTTTGTTTCCGTTCAGAGCACTCCATGTATTCTATTTGGCGTCAAGAAGCGGAAGAGCTCCCAGGCATTCTATCAGTTTAGTGGGAAACCAGGCCGTTGCATAGACTTGGACAATATATCTTTTGTCAGAGATACCGAATAGTTTAACACGTTCCATATGCGTTGACGGTGGAAAGCATTGATAATGACACTCCAGCTTTTAATACTTTTGGCTGTTCTTCCCTTCAGCCTTCTCCTTTCACTGTTAATCGAGATGCAAATGAAATGGATACACACTTATTTTTAATTAATTTTCGTGATTTATCTGGGTTAATTGCCACGTGGTTCAAAGTAGCTAATTGGTCCCCGGTTCAGTGGTGCGCGCAAAATTTCGCTCAATCTAGGGACGAAACATCCCAAACCAAACTTCTCATCACCTACCGTAGACAGCGTTGACAGCGTCTGATGTCAATCGGTTCATACCACGCGTTGCGTCACAGTGATCTACGGGGCAGGTCTAAGCGACTGGATCATTCGCCTGTAATTTGTTCTGAGGGAAAACAGAGGCCGGGCAGAAACTACGCAAGCATCTGATAGAAAGACCGATAACTTTATATACTCGGTTTCTTTGAGTCAAGCCTGTGACGATCGACATTTTTGGTTGATGGTTGTCCTGGAGATCCCGTATACGGCTTTAGCGTGAGACCATCAATGTTGCTGCGTTGCTCAGGATTTGGACAAATACGCGCACGGGATACTGCAGGAAGGATACGAAAAATGCCATGTGGTAGAATAAGTGATACAAACAAGTGAAATCCGAAAGAAGAAATGCACCACATAGGGCTGGTTAAACTGGATCGAGTGCGTGTAAGCACACATGTTTACGATGAGAATTGTGAGAGTAACTCCTTTCTGTGTAGCCGGTCAGAGAGTATGCCACCGCACGGGATGTTATACGCACATAAAATTATGTCACAGACACTTCTTGCCACTTTAGAACCTTTGTATATAGTAAAATGCTGGAGGGTGATTCCGTATTAGTAAACTCTATTATTGGTATATTAATGGGACTGCAATGGCCTCACCTCTAGGCCCGCTCCTTACAGATATCTTCTTCGAGATACGCGAGAGTTTGTTTCTTCTCGAAATTATTGCGCCAATTACTTCATACCACCCTACCTGAGAACAAATTCCTCGTACTGAGCCCCTCGATCGTCGGTGTCAGCTAACTAAAAATTTTCCATAGGGTACATTGGGCCTTGGAATTTACCAGTGTAACCGAAAACAATGGTTACCTGGTTTCACTATAGCATTTCCCGCAAGGTTGCAAAACAAGTCCAAAATTTTGCAAAGAATGCACAAACTTTTGAAAAGTAGGTCCAAAAGTTTGCGAAGCAAGTGCAAAGTGTTGCAAAAGCCTGTGCCAGGTGCTATTTCGCCATCTGGAGAATGCATCCGTTGCAAGAAACAATTTCTTAGAAGCGACAGGGTAGGCAAATGCATCCACTTTCTCAATTTTACACATCCACGAAACAAAATCAGCTATATATTCTATCGCACTGGCGACGTTGGAGCACTGAGACGTTGGTTGGTAGAAAAATGATCATTCTGGGTACATTGCATCATAATAAACATGCTCCGCAATTCAACAAAATGCATTTTATTTCACATCGATCCAACAGCAGTATCCCCACAGTGCAAAAATATTTTCCTTACAGCCCTTATTAAAATGGTCGCTTTTGAACTTTTCAGGAGAAAAGGTTCAATTGCACTGGCCCAGACGTCTCCAGCTGCTTTTGCAACATTACTGGCTAAAACTAGTCAAGAGCTTTCTCAGTTGAATTAGGGAAAGCCGATCCTGTCCGAATCATAAATCCGAGATCAGTAACTTGCGCTTGTTGTACGAAGTACCATATGGACATACAACCAGGCGCTTACCCAAATGGATTGTTGAATATTGCTCTGCGTCGCCACCTAAGGGCAAATTAAAAACATCAACAATGCTATTCCGTTACATTTTGGGGAAATAGATTTTTTGCCTCTGAAGAATGAGTTACCGAAGTTACTTTCGCCATCCAAAATCGCTACTATGAAGGGATCAAAAAGGTCTTCGAACCGTGGCCGAAGCCACACTAATCAGGGTTTCGTAACTAGAGCTGTAAAGACAGCGACCACTGGTGCAGACCCTTAATTTGGATTGGCCTTAACCATACCCTGGTAACATCAATTCACTTTTGGTACGACGGACTGTTAGCCCCTGTTATCACATCGCAGTGAATTGCCTAAAAGCTCCATAAACATGAGTAATCTAAACATTAGCCCTAACATGCACTAACTGCCATGCTGTATATCGTTACTATCAGAAGTCTTGATCTCATGGGGTCAACAGTACGCTCTGAAAGTTCATAATTTGCTTGGCAGTGGATGCTGCGCGTCGCTACATCACTGTTGACTTGTGGGCTATGGCAGCCTGCTGCTTTTCCCTGTGGTCTAGCGACATTAGTTTCTGGCTAGTGACGCAAGCCGCTAGTGGTCACAAGTGCCGTTCCTGATGCAGGCGGGATATGCGGAGCTCTGACCAGTCTCAACAGAACGGGGGGACCATTTGGGACTTTTCGGACTGGTAGTACGCCACGTGACTTGAAGTTGCGGCAATTAACACACAATACAGCTGCTTCTTTGAACGTTCTGCCCTCCGCTGGGTGTGCCTGTTTCCCCGTGCGGCTTAATCCGAAAGAACACCATCCAGATCGATAGCATTTCGTTATAAACCAACAGGTTTTTCCCCGTTTTGGTTAATCTAGTTTATATCCGACTCTCAGCATCTGAGCAGTTTTTACTTTTGCGCCTCTACTTGTAAAGGCCTCACGACATTTATCGAAAGGAATATTCATCACACGATTAGGAACTTATGATTTCTGCTATTTCTTGATCAGCTCTAGATATGTCAAGTTACCCAGGTGGCATACAATCACGCAGCCGTTCAGGAGCAGCTTGACAGCACTTTGAGTTTTGGAACCAGATTGAGAAGCAATCAGCCCGCGTACCCAGATTGCTCATGGGTAACAGCTAGTGGAGCAGTGTTGCACCTCTCTTCCCACGGACGAGATTTCTATTTGTTGTCATGAAATAACCTAGAGAGTTGTGCTGCGGAACTGTCAAGCGATCCCCCAAAAATACGCATCCGCAACACAGCCTTCAAGTATCGCTTGAACATTCAAAGAGCTAGGCTGCTTAGAACCCGCAGCGCGACTACCCCGCTTCCAAATCACAACGCAGCAGGCTTTCGTTGGCAACATCCTCTTGCTAAAACCCATACGCTACGTAGTGAGGCATTAATGCAACAACTAACTGGGTGTCCAGAACTGATTGTCGAGTGAATAAAAGCGCCCGTGCGAGAGGCTTGCCTTTTTTCTCTCTAACTGCTGCTTCGTGTAGTTGGAGATCACCTTCGTGTCGCGTGCGCAGGTGGGCGCTGGTGGACGTGTCCCTCAGTTAACAGGGTTTAGGCTCATCTTCCATGCGACGGCTAGGTTTCGCTGTTACGTAACCGGTGCGCATTAAGTATTCATTTACTCGACACTAGGGACGGACACTAAATGCATATCGTGAAGTCCATCCAACGAAGGCAGACATGGTAGTCTGGAGCCTGGTTTTAAATTAGTAGAGAAAGCTAACCAGCTATTTAGCGTGTTTCTGAGGGTGCTTACCTGGTAGTACCCATCCAACTAACCGTACATCCTCAATGAGTTCGCGAAACCACATGATTACGTCAATCACATTTTCCGGCTTGGATTGTAAGGTTGACCCAGCTACGAACTACTCAAAAGAGAAAGAAGTAGAATGATAATCATTTGGTCAACCAGACCTCCTATCGTTGACTGAAGAACCTAAGGGGATACAGGGAGAAAATCAGCGCCTAAGAAGGGACTTCATAAGAGAGTGTTGAATTCTGATCAATAAAATTGTTGATTACTGCCATCTTTCTACAGTGGGACCATCTCTGCTGGTTGCCGACGTATTGTAGACTGGCGGATTTTCAACGAAACGTTTTCCCGCCCAATGAGTTCTAACCTTGCATTAGTCTCCGAAATGCTACATTACCGTATTGGCATTAAGTAAAACGGCCAACTCGCATAGGCGATGATTACCAAAACAAACGTTGCGCTCGTCAAACACGCCCATAAGTGTTGGTGGGCACACTACTATTTGGGTTCAACTCGATATCATTTTGGGTTTACAGACCTGCGGTACGATTTGTAGGCAGGTTGACTGCAAATCAACTTTTGATCATCATTGAGAGATTGCAAATATTAATTCCCTGTTGCACAATAATCGGTTTATTCGTTAGCTGGTCAGGAAGTAGTAAAACGATTCGCCGTGTAAATATTTACTGACATTAAGGGGTATATACTGAAATGCACAGCATTAAGCGGAACTGAATTCCATCTGCTTGGAACATCGATATTGTGGACTCTAAGCTAAATCATACTATTGGGACCGTAATTTAGTTCTGTAGTTGGCACAAGACTTAGTATAAGTGAGTGTTAGGGTAAGCAGCACTTTGTTGCAAATACTGAATGCACCATTGGGGTCGAGGAAGTGCTACTCTAATTCTGCCAGCTAATTGTGTGAGGTAACTTGCGAGATGAAACCATAATCTCTAAAGGATAAGGCTCAAAAAGGAAAACCATGTATATATGCTCGCGGTTCATCTCGAATATAAAGCGGGAATCTAATAATGATGTGTCATACAAATTCAATGGTTTGGTTTTGGATTTCTCAGACCAAAAAAGCGATCAGCTAGCAGCGCGTATGATTATGTTACGTCGAATGAATTTAAACTACTCATTGCCCCCGAGTCGTTAACAAGAACAAGCTATGTTACTTGTCGGATATGGTTCATACAATTTTGGTCCTAGTTTCCAGTTTCCTTGAGCAGTCGCCACAAGTTTTTCTCTTCGCTACTGGTAATTGCATGCCATTTGATGGAACGGCAGCGTATTTAGTCTGAGGAATATATTGTCTGTTCCAAATGCACCGTGGGACTCGGTAGATTGATAATCAGTCGATTAACGCAGTAATTTTTTGTTCTGAAAGTATTTAATTCGACTTCGTGAACGATTCCACTCATAGTTGTTTAGGTTTTCCGTTACTACAACGAACAGTCGAACAGTTGAGTAATTTTCCAACTCAACTTAAAATGATTATTGTGTGATGTGTTCTACTATATTATCAGTTTTCTAGTTATTTAAGGCTTAATCACATCCTTCAACTCGGTATTCCTAATCCATTGGCCG